TTCAGATCACCAAACACAATTACCGATGCTCTAGCAGTGATACTGATTTCCGGAATGCAAACCCGATTAGTGTATATGATATAGTTGAGACACTGCTGAGGGTCTATGACTCGGCTCCAGATCACCAAGCACAATTACCGATACTCTACAAGTGATACTCGATTCCGGAATTGCAACCCGATTAGTGTATACGATATAGTTGAGACACTGCTGAGGGTCTATGGCTCGGGTCCAGATCACCAAACACAATTACCGATACTCTACAAGTGATACTTGATTCCGGAATTCCAACCCAATTAGTGTATACGATATAGTTGAGACACTGCTGAGGGTCTATGTCTCGGGTCCAGATCACCAAACACAATTACCGATACTCTAGCAGTGATGCTTGATTCCGGAATTGCACTCCGACTAGTGTATATGATATAGTTGAGACACTGCTGAGGGTCTATGACTCGGCTCCAGATCACCAAACACAATTACCGATACTCTCAACTGATACTTGATTCCGGAAGTGCAACCCGATGAGTGTATATGATATAGTTGAGACACTGCTGAGGGTCTATGACTCGGCTCCAGATCACCAAACACAATTACCGATACTCTACAAGTGATAGTTGATTCCGGAAGTGCAACCCGATGAGTGTATATGGTATAGTTGAGACACTGCTGAGGGTCTATGACTCGGCTCCAGATCACCAAACACAATTACCGATGCTCTAGTAGTGGTGCTTGATTCCGGAATTGCAACCGGATGAGTGTATATGACATAGTTGAGACACTGCTGAGGGTCTATGGCTCGGCTCCAGATCACCAAACACAATTACCGATATTCTAGCAGTGATACTTGATTTCGGAATTGCAACCCGATTAGTGTATACGATATAGTTGAGACACTGCTGAGGGTATATGACTCGGCTCCAGATCACCAAGCACAATTACCGATACTCTACAAGTGATAGTTGATTCCGGAATTGCAACCCGATTAGTGTATACGATATAGTTGAGACACTGCTGAGGGTCTATGGCTCGGGTCCAGATCACCAAACACAATTACCGATACTCTACAAGTGATACTTGATTCCGGAATTCCAACCCAATTAGTGTATACGATATAGTTGAGACACTGCTGAGGGTCTATGGCTTGGCTTCAGATCACCAAGCACAATTACCGATACTCTACAAGTGATACTCGATTCCGGAATTGCAACCCGATTAGTGTATACGATATAGTTGAGACACTGCTGAGGGTCTATGGCTCGGGTCCAGATCACCAAACACAATTACCGATACTCTACAAGTGATACTTGATTCCGGAATTCCAACCCAATTAGTGTATACGATATAGTTGAGACACTGCTGAGGGTCTATGTCTCGAGTCCAGATCACCAAACACAATTACCGATACTCTAGCAGTGATGCTTGATTCCGGAATTGCACTCCGACTAGTGTATATGATATAGTTGAGACACTGCTGAGGATCTATGACTCGGCTCCAGATCACCAAACACAATTACCGATACTCTACAACTGATACTTGATTCCGGAAGTGCAACCCGATGAGTGTATATGATATAGTTGAGACACTGCTGAGGGTCTATGACTCGGCTCCAGATCACCAAACACAATTACCGATACTCTACAAGTGATAGTTGATTCCGGAAGTGCAACCCGATGAGTGTATATGATATAGTTGAGACACTGCTGAGGGTCTATGACTCGGCTCCAGATCACCAAACACAATTACCGATGCTCTAGTAGTGGTGCTTGATTCCGGAATTGCAACCGGATGAGTGTATATGACATAGTTGAGACACTGCTGAGGGTCTATGGCTCGGCTCCAGATCACCAAACACAATTACCGATATTCTAGCAGTGATGCTTGATTCCGGAATTGCAACCCGATTAGTGTATATGATATAGTTGAGACACTGCTGAGGGTCTATGAATCGGCTTCAGACTATCAAATACAATTACCGATACTCTACAAGTGATACTTGATTCCGGAATTGCAACCCGATGAGTGTATATGATATAGTTGAGACACTGCTGAGGGTCTATGACTCGGCTCCAGATCACCAAACACAATCACCGATGCTCTAGTAGTGATGCTTGATTCCGGAATTGCAACCCGATTAGTGTATATGATATAGTTGAGACACTGCTAAGGGTCTATGACTTGGCCTCAGATCACCAAACACAATTACCGATACTCTAGCAGTGATGCTTGATTCCGGAATTGCAACCGACTAGTGTATATGATATAGTTGAGACACTG